GACAGGGGTTTTTTCCTGAGATCATCCACACGTAATGTAAAGTTGTGTGGCGCTGACGGCCAGGACTCGAGTTTCTTTTTTGGTTGGTATGCAGTGCGTATCTAACGCAAAATTATCGGCCCGGTATCGATACTGCTGTTTCGGGTGCATGTTTCTCTGTATATTATCCTGTTTGTGATCGGGCGGTTTGATATGTTCAAATGCAAACATTCTCTAGGCATTTTCTGTCGGCCCTCTTAGACTGTTTGTGTTCAGTTGCTTTTTTTTTCCGTTCTGTTTTTTATTCCGTAGGCCACAACAACTAATTTATCCACACTCGTCTGGGATAGATTATCGGCAATGGGTTCATGATGTCAGAGGCTCGTTTTTTGCGACCGATGCTTCTTCACGGCGTTCGCGGGAAGAAAATCTGGAGTAAGGAGGCGTGGTTGGTGTGTATGCGCTTGTTGTGTCCCGCGTTGCCGATTAAGTTGTTTTCAATAGCATTCTGGCGTGAATTCAAGCTCGACGACGGTAACGGCAAGCCACGGTGGTCCTTGCAGGGGCACCATCCCCTCTCGTGTCCTCTCGTCGTCTCGCCAGCCGCTTTCCTTTCTCCTGCAGCTGATTGTTTCGGCGCAATACAGGCTGCAACACAGACCAGCGTTGGAGGCAGTATGGAGCAGGCCCAGCCACAGGCGAGTGTTCAGTGTCTCGGAGTTTCATCACAGTACACCATTTTGGCCTGGCCGACTCCCACCGCAGTGGTCCGCCCCTGCCGTGTTTATTATTTCGTAGGAGCAGTACAACTTGTAGACTACAGCAGTACAAAATACAATGTAGTGGCGTATCTCTAAGGACTCACTAGTGTGACTAATACCGCTGGGTGTACAGCAGATTCGCTGCTCGAAAGGGCCAACGTTGCCTCCGCCGATCATGGATTCACGAGGTTAGGACCGTTTTAAACGGACCGACTTTTTTGTCAAAATTTTCGACAGTTGTCTTTCAAAAACTTGGAACCTGTGTGCAGTCATTTTAAACGTGTGACGTAGACTTGTGCAACTTGTGTCAAAAAAAATGACGCCGTCCGTGAGTTGTAGCGCTCACTTCGAGACAACACAGACGACACAACACAAACCGCGGAAAACACGACATCATGGACACCGACATGGATATCACGACCACCCAGCGTGGCCGGCAGACCAAAACCCCGGCGAAATTCCAGCAGACGGGCTCTCTCGGTGCCGCCGTAGGCGGTGGAGGCTTGCTCTCCAGCAAGATAGTGCTGCTGCCTGGCATCTCGGGGAACACTCATGTTACCACGGGAGGCGCTGCCGCCACCAACACTCCGCCGGCGAGGGGTGGCAACCACTGCTCCTACCCCCCCGGGAAAAGGAAAAAACAAAGCGGCGGACGCGAAGCAACAACTGCAAGCCATCATGGCGGACCGCCGTTTTTTTTTTTTGTATTGCGCGTGCCCGTGGGCGAGGAGAGCCGCTCGAATCTGTAGGCGCGCCGCGCTTTCTACGGTCGGCCATGACCCACACACAACCCTAGCTGACTTTCTACGGTGAGGGGCACTCGTGGTGCAGACGCAGCAGCCCTCGCGTGCCTCTGCAAGGGTACTTTGGAAAGTGCTCCAAATACTTTGAGAGGGTTGTCGAAAAGTTGGAACGAAGTGGAGCAAAGTTTTCGCGCCCAACTTCGTTCCAAATATTTTGAAAAAATATGGACAAACGCCTACATACAGGTTCCATTTTTTTGACACTTTCAAACATTTTGACAAAAAGTCGGTCAGTTTAAAACGGCCCTTAGTGTTTCGTATGTGTGTTTGTTCGTCCCATCTATTTCGGGCGGCAGCCTTCATGCACCAACGTCAGGTCCTCATGTTTGACGCAGCGGACACGTATCCGTCAAGACAGGAAGAAATATCCGGCCTTTTTTTTTGCTCCTCTTCAGCAAGTCCTTCCTTCTCGTCTGTACGCTCGAATCAATCGCTTGAAACCTCGCTCAAGAAATGTTCACCTCCACGAGAGATTTAACCCGCCACTTGCTGTCAGTATGGGTTCTTGCCAAATGCGTTTCGAACAGCAGTACGTAATCACACACGAGACACGACCAGTCGGGAGATGTTTGTTGCGCAACAAACTACAGTACAGTCGGCGGGCCTCAACAACGGTATGGTCCGTCTGGAACAACTTGTCCATTCTTGTTTTGTGCGAAAACTTGTGTGTTAAAAAGAGGTGGAACATGAAACAACGATATTCATTCGTGATCGCCTCGTCGAGCCACGTCGATAGCTGCAGAGTTTTTTTGTTTTTTAGAAAATGCAACATGTTTGGCCAAAATGATCCAAGAAACCCTCTCAACATGCCACGGAACTCCCCTAAACACACCACGGAACCCCTTACACATTGCACGGAACCCCCTAGACATAGCACGGAACCCCCGAGTCATACCACGGACCCTCCTAATCATACCACGGAAACTCTCGGAGCTTTCAAGCTCTGCACCAATCAATTGTAACTGCTTCATGTATAGTCTACTCGTCTCTCGTATGTTTGCATAGTCTATCATAAATATGATAGACTATACATATACTACTCCATATCTATCACCACATACATATCCTGTCGCATTGGTGACGGGCATTTTCATCCTCGACAACACCTATGGAAGCAACATCGGAGTCGTGGCCAAAACCGACGAGTTGTGCTGGTGGTGCTGTTGTTGCCTGAGCACGTGGTGCGATGGTTCCATCCGCGTTCCGCGCCATCTTTGTTCGTCGTTTCTTGCGTCGCGGCATGTGTAGGGCTTGTGTGTGGCCGTGGCCACTTGTTTGTGCGCTGCTTGGTTGAGTAGTGAATGTCTGGTGGGTGAGTGCGTGCGAGAGCTGTTCGTCTCTTACAGCGGCACGCACATCACCGAATATCTCACGAAATTTCGTTTTATGGAAAAAACGGGAAAAAAGCGACAACTGCGGGATTTCGAGAGGAATCGTTTGCCGCACTCTATTTAAAAATCGTGAAGTTGTTCTCGCAGGAGATTGCGAACAAAATGCCCTTCCAGAATCGGTTTGTGGGCCATAACTCCGTCGTTTCTTGATATTTTTTATTTTGGAAAGAGGCAACACCTGGCAAATTCCACACCGTCGCGGACCCAATCCCCCGAACCGCGCTTCTCCCCAGGTAGCTATAGTCTACATAGACATTGGTGGGAGGTACTGACTGCTGTAGACCAGCAGTTGGAGGATTGCGTCTGTGTCGGCGCGTACAGCAGTGGATCGTGAATGGTGCTCGTTTGCGGATTTTTCGAACCGCAGCTGCAGCCTTCGACAGCACGGCGATAGCGCGGCCCCAGCAACAGATCGTCATGATACTCTCGACAGGAATATGAGTTCAAACTCAAGCTGCCACAAGCCGGAAGGTCGTTTTGGCTTTTTACGTCTTGGATAAGGTTGCGTATTTTGAACTGACACCGGGGTTGGCACGAGCGTTAAGGAGGTTTCCTATGCATAAACATGTCGACCACCGGGGCTACAAGCTCTAATTGGCCATTCAAGTCTGGCAAGTCTTTTCACTTGGAAAAGAATAGTCTAATGTTACTTACAACACAGTGATGCCCGCCGGAAAACACCTACCCATCTGTGCCATATGAAAGAATATTGTTTGTTCATCCGCTTCAAGTCTCCGCTGAGTCAATGAAAACAAGTGCGGGAGAAACCCTCCGGTAGTTGTGTTGTGTGCGATTGAAATCCCATCCGCATCGGAACACATCGTAGGGGACAACTTGGAGAAATCGTTGTTCTTAGAATCCGACAAACGGTGTTAAAGACCGCGACCACTCGCTGTCAGACAATGATTGCAGACCCGACGATGAGCTTTTTTTTTTCCGAGTCAATGATATCGTTGAGATAGTGCAATATTTTTACACACACCTTCACCAAGCGAAAGTCTCCCCTTGGGGCGGTACGCTTGAAAGAACAGGAAGCCGCAACTGTTCCCGAACATCCTTGAACGTGCTCAACGTTCGCCAGAATCTGCCAATTGTGTGTATGCCACCTTCTCCGTGTTATTACTGAAATGGGTAGTAAGCAGTTTGGCCGCTATCTTGATACGCACATGACACGAATGGAGAGAAGTTTGAAGTGTAACTCGCCTCGAAGAAAAACACTATCGCTATCCATCGTAATGCACAACGCAGGCGACCGCCCATCGGAGCAATCTCCCGAACAAGACATGCACCACCCGTCGGTATCCGTGAGCGGTGTCAAGGAGGGCCACGCTGGTGCACACCATGAATCCGAACAAGGTAGTATTTCGGATGGAGTGCAGATCGATAGCTGTCTTCTCCACTGAATTTTTTTTCGCTCATTTTAACATACATATCCCTTATCTCGCCTCAAGCGTTTTTTACGGTTTGGGGCTAACTAGTTCACCTTTCGTCTTTAATTGTTCCCTCTGAACCTTGTTTAGGCAGCAGCGTGGCAAATGTGTGTGACGCAAGCTCTCGAACCGAACAAACCAGGAGCTCCCTCCACACTTTACGAGTTTTTCACTCAATCCCGATCGTCCACATTCGGAGGTTGGTGAGTATGATGACACGCCCAAAAGGAAAATAGGTGCCTCCTTGATGGAGTTTTCGTGTATCGCGCACATTTGTTTGCTCGCATGCCCACGGAAACTCCAAATCGCCGTCGCACCTTTGTCGCGCACCACAAGCACATTCAAGACTCACAGCCGCTCTTCTTTGAATGGTGTATCGCTCGATGTGTCCGGACACTCGTACAGATGGGCGGGCGATTCATGAAGGCAACAAGCCTCTCACTGTGTTGTTGTTGGTGTTGTTTTCGTCGTAGCGTTCACCCGTTCTGACCTCGGCGGCGGCCCCGCGTTGTACCTGTCAAGATAGAAGAACCCTTCCCGAGAAGGTATGGAGCCTGTGACCTATTCACCATGGGAGTGTGCAAAAAGGACGCTTGCGCTAGTGATGTAAAAATATCGTCTAATTCGTCACGCGTAATGCAGGGTTATTGATAGGCTTTCAATGCAGAGACATATTGATGTGGGTTTTGTATTTTGTCGACACCAAGAATCGCAGCACTTTGCCAACACAGGTCCCAATATTCGCCTTGCCCCGCATTTTCGGCAGGCTCTAGCAGGTGCTTGGACGCTTTCATTGTCGCCCTCAACGAAACCTGCCACGAGGGAAAATGCATTACGTCGACCACGGCGCTCCAGCTCGCGTCGCTGCAGTTCTGCGTGGCTTGTCGAAGTGCATCGCCCGTTCGCCTAAGGATCGACACGGACACACCTAGATATTTGTGGGCCAAGGATTCTGGACCTCAAGCTCGACGCAGCGCGATGATTCGCCGTGCGTCTCGCGTGCCGGCCCTGCACACGAGTGAGGTGCTGTAGATTCTACCAGCTTCGATGCTGAATGCTGCGAGTGACTCTCTTCAACTGTTGAACCTGCAGCTCCTCAGCTTCGTCGGTGCCAACTTCAACGATTGCATGAGCGATGTGGCATTGCCGCGTGGCCTAAAGGGGATCAACATCGGTGGAAGGTTTAACCGCTCTGTGTAGAACGTGGCGTGGCCTTCATCGCTCCTCCAGCTGTCCTGTGGCTATGAGTTCAACCAGCCAGTTGACAACGTCACTTGGCCAAAGTCTCTGATGCAGTTGACCTTCGGCAACTGGTTTAACCGACCGCTTTCTTTGGTAAACTGGCCGGCATCTCTGCAGCAGGTAGCACTCGGCGACCACTTCGACCAACCGCTCCATGGTGTTTCGTGGCCGCCAGATCTGCGCGTCTTGAGCTTCGGTATCTTGTTTATCCAGAGAATCGACGCTGTGGCGTGGCCAACCTCTCTCCAGGAATTAGCCTTCGGGTGGTCATTCAATCATTCGGTTGACGTGGCAAAGTGGCCAGCTATATTGCAGAACCTCTCCTTCGGCGGTGGTTTCAACAAGGGGCTCGACAGAATGGTATGGCCGGCTTCGCTCCAGAGCTCGTCACCGGCAGCAGCTTCGACCAGTAAATCGATCAAATTACGTGGCCGCTATCGGTGAAAATGGTTATACTCGGGTCCAAATTCGATAAGTGCATCGATCGCGTTAGCTTCCCAACATTGTTGGAGGAACTAGCCTTTGGCCAACACTTCGACCAGGCACGCAACAGGGTAAAAGTGGCCGTCATCGCTACAACAGCTCACCCTAGGGGGGAACTTCAATCAAGGTCTCCTCGCGGTGGCAATCAAGGTCTCCTCGCGGTGGTATGGCCCGTGGCCCTGAAGAAGTTGGTTCTAGGCGGTCGCTTCAACCAACCCATCGCTGGCGTTCGGTGGCCGCCTTTTCTGCAGTTCCACATTCCAAACCACGCGCGATAGCGAGGACGTCCAACGGCGCAACGGCAGGGTGATGATCTTCTGCTTCACCCCAGGCCGGCAAGCGGAAGGCGGTTGTCCGTGCACCCGTTGTGCACGTTTAATCAAGCGGCCTTGATGAATCGCACTCACGGTGGCGGTGGTTCTTTTGAGTCCGATTAGACTAACCGCTATCACACCCCCGATACTAAGACTCACTCCCGCGTTCTACATTACAGCAGACCCTACACTCAACAAACTGTTCTGTAGGACTGTTCTCTACATACAGTGTAGCGGTTCAGCACACTAGAAATATGGGCTGGGCAGGAACCGGATGGACAACTCATGAATCTTTTCTACCGGAACAAGCTCGCCCTATGACTTTTTGTCTCAACAATCAACGTGACGCCTGTTTGACCACATGTAACTCCCCGCCGACGCCCAAACGATTCTGGTGAACGCCCACAAGAAACTGTGTGGAAATACTACCGGAGGTGCGAAGCCACTGCAGCCATGCGACGTTGCGAAGGCAGTGGTGGTGGACGTGGGCCCATACGCCCTTTACGTAAATACCTCATCGCCAACGGCCAACACGAGGCAGCACCCTGCACACCTCCACGCCCGGCACTGTCGGCAGCTGATCGTCAGAGCAGCAGGCGAACGTCAACCGCCGTAGAGAGGCCAACGGCCGACACGAGGCTGCGCCCTGCAAACCTCCACGCCCGGCACTGCCGGCAGCTGATCGTCAGAGTAGCAAGCGAACGTCAGCTGCCGTAGAGAGGCAGGCCACGACAAGTCGCCAGCTGGAATCGAGAATCTTGGCCGAACCGCAGATACTGCAATGACTTGGGCCGGGCTGCGCGTGGATGGCTTTGCTGAAGTCTAGGCCAAACGCCAGCTTGCGCAATGATGCAGGCCAAGCTGCACAGACGTCGACGGGTTGGTCGAACATGTGGCTGAAAACCAGCTCCTGATTGCAGTAGCGGAAGAAGCAAGAACAGTCTGTCTGCCCGCGTGCATCACTTGACGTGTAAAATCATATCCTCCACTCATGCAAATGCCCGCAACGGCGATCGTGCGCGCCCTAACCTGCTCGATGCCTGTGCCGGCTTGCGAAAACCATGCGGCATAGTAGATATATATCGACGGTACACCCGCCGCAAGGCGAACGGCGCCTTTCAATACCCGATGGTGTATCTATCAATTTGTTAGTGACCCACTGTACAAGGGGCCTCCACAAGCACAAAATAACACTGTCCCCCAGCGCTCCAACCCTCCCTTCCCCATCTTGTGATTAAATTCTGTTGTTTTACACACCCGGATGACAACAAACCGTATTGGCTGCATGCGCAAGAATAGGTCTACACACAGATGACATGTTTTTGAAAATCTCCGAAAGTCTGGCAAAGGACAGATTTACCTGTAGCTTAAACATTTTTACGGGGGCGAAGCGAGCCGTTGACATCCACTTCACTTGTACCGCGTTTGGACATGACACAACCGACTAGGCGTTCAGCACAGCACGGGCAGGTATAGAAACCAACGTTTGCAACACCGCCAAGAAGCATGAAACGCGAGTATAAGATTTTCTTCGCGAAATTTTTGCCGTCCCTGAACCAAGTGCCTCGCTATTGAACAACCTACGAGGAGCGCGCTGGCAAGAACAGGACGTGATCCAACATGGTACAGGTGCCTTCGCGGTAAGGCCACACGCATGCGTCTCGGTTCTCACGCTTAACTAACAACGCACGGTTTTGAAAAACAGGAAATCACTCCGGTGTAGCTCCAACTCTCCCATTTCACCGCCCTCCGCCAGCCTGGCGTTCACGACACATATTCAAAGAACCAGAAACATGGTGTGACGGAAAAAATAACTATCGCAGCAAGCAATATCGAAGACGCAAGGATTGGTATCCGTACTCTGGGCCTGAATGTACTGAGCCTCTGTGAAGACACAACGGATTCCATCGATTGCGAACATTAGGTGAGCTTCCAGTCAAGGGCCGTCACGTCTGCCATGCTCCGCCTCAGTGCAGAGGCATCGCCCAAGGCCAAGCCGAGTAAAGCTTCACTTTGATCACGTGGAACATTGGCTCTTGTAAAGCTTGTCAAGACGCGCTAGGGTACCCCAATATATCGCCGACGGCAACGGCGGCAAAGAAGGAAAGTTGTTCTTGGCGGGTGGAGCTCTTCACGGCCGCCGATGAAAATCAATCCGCACCACAACAAGGGTTCAGCCCAGTCCCCGTCCCCCCAAAGTCCCCTGCAAGGTGAAGCTCGGGGTGCCTTTCCCATGTCAGGCAAGCCGCCTGACCCCGAAAAAGAACGGTCACGAGGACACACAATGTGTCGGTACTTTGCTTACATGGAGGGACCGAAAAGGGGGACGTGCACCCGAGGCCACGCACGCCCTGGTAGTCCCCCCCCACACCCTCACAGTTGCATTCCAAAGACGCGGACCTCCCACTAAATAAACGCAAATATCTACAAGGCCCCACGCATCACCACTATAACGAATCATCGCTACCGCTGTCATCGTCACGGCACAGTCGCACTGCGATGGCCAAAGCCACAAACAACCGGATTGTACGGGTTCCACCCACCACGCAACAAATGCTCTATCGGGGCCGGTCTGTTCCTTGGTCAGAGAGCTTTGAGCATCACCGCTCAAACGTGACACCGAATTCGTCAAGAAACAAACAATATAACACCAACATCACCCGTGCTTACAACTAACATCCATCACGGACACATTCATCCTTCGCATGTCGGCCATCAAGACTCTCAGTCAGGCCTGCCTGCTAAGGTCCCATCTTCTCCCGCGCTTGCCGAACTGCTATACTCCTGCCTCACTACCCCGCCCCCGCAACCTTCTGATAATTCTGCGACCAGCCGGCCAAACACCGCAACGACGTCACAGGAATTTCTTGTCTCGTGTCGCGACGGCAGGACGGCCGTAGCTCCTCACCAGCGCGCACGACCACCAGCCTTGGAAGATGCAGATCCCCACCCACGCGAGGTAGCTGCCGAGAAACATGGGAACCGGCCGATCTTCCTCCACAGCGAACCTCCACTGCACGAGCCGCTCGGGGTAGAGGGCCTTGAGGGTCTCCGGGAACGTGCACATTGTAAAATAAAAGCCCAGGAACGGATACCTGCAACAACGGTAGCGAGCAGTGGGTAGAGGAGGCAACGAAAAGGAGGGGGTTGTCATGAGTCTTGCATGCCACAGCTGCCAGACCGGTAGGAAGCGAACTCTCGTATCACCCTGAATGAACCTTCCCAACACCACTTAATGAATGCGCCGGAGGACGAGGACAGAAATCCTCAACACCAAAACCCTCGCGACCAGCATAGCTTGAACCGAGGTCGAGAACCGGGGGAGGCGGGAAGGCCTGTTCTAGTGGTAGGCCCTTGCGTTCAAGTTTGCATGTTGTCCATACATTTATTATTCCTCCGAGGCAACCAATAGTCATGAGAGTAGTAGTGCCAAGAGCAGCAGTACACCTCTCCGACTGACGAAGGTAACCTCCGCCAAATCGCATGCAGATCCGTCCAGATAGAAATATCCATTCCCTAGAGCCAATTGTCTTCGATTCGGTCACACGACAATCTGCTGTTGTACCCGCTCGCTCACCAAATTAATCTGAGCGCCACCCATGACAACGCGAAGGGAACCTCCAGGAGACCTCCCCAAGACACCCGACGCCGTAGGATGAGGAGGAAGGTGTTGAACTCCACCAGCAGCGCGCACGCCGTGTAGAAGGCGTGCTGTGGCTGGAGCAAGGGGTCCACCAGCACCGAGAGGGTGGCAACGTGGTGACCCTATAAAAACGTGCACGGCGCCGAGTGACGTTGCCCGGGCCGTGGGGCGGTAATGGTCGAGATACGAAATCACAACACGGGTTAGGGTGGGGGGCCTGGTCCATCATCAAAACGGGTGTACCGGCCGCCACTTTCTTCTCTCTAGGGAAAGAGGTTCGTCGGGATACGAAATCACAACACGGGTTACGGTGGGGGGCCTGGTCCATCATCAAAACGGGTGTACCGGCCGCCACTTCCTTCTTTCTAGGGAAAGAGGTTCAGACCGTGCCCGGAGGGAGGGTACGAGAGGCTGCGAACGAAAGGGGGTAATGATTTTCCGAAAATTGCAGGGATCCAGTGGCTTGTGTGCCTCTGGGCGGGGCTACGGCTTCTCCCGAGAATACGACGGAGGAATCCAGATCCCCTCTTTTTCTCGCTATCTTTTTCATCTCCATGGTCGCATCACCCCCCTCCTCTTGGCTCTCCTGCCCTCTTGCCGGTTTCTGCTTGTCAGCCCTCCACCCAGGGTTGGCGACCCACGGCCCCACATCAAAGCGAATTACCCGCCCGTCCACTCGCTCTCGTCTCCGCGTTACTCACAAGTACAGTTCTTGGCGACTTTACGCCCGAAGGGTTGCACAAGATCCAGCACGCGTCCAGCACCATGTACCCCGCCGCGAATAATGTCAGCGCGTACTGGGTCCACCTGTCCCCCCTGCTCCACACATCGAACACCAGGGGGAAACAACAAAGAGTCGACGGGAGCATTGTAGCCGTCAAGGGTGTTGATGAGGGGGTTTTCTCTAATGTTTTTCTTTCCAATGAATTGTACTCTGAATCACAATGGCGATTCTCCGTTGGGGGCCGCGGGCGGGTGGTGCGGCGAGGAGGGGGGTGCTACGAGACGTGGAAGGCACCTAGAATTCATACACTCGTTATTGCTCGTGCGCTGCCGCTTGTTCTTGGTGCAGCGTGAACCGCCAATTGAAACTTAAGGTTGTTCAACGGTGACGAAAAAACTGCGGCTGCTCTGTTGCTGCTGCTTCAAGTGAAGTGATTCGCGATACTTCTCGCGAACGAATTATTCTGAACTGTCTGGACTGAGCAGATGACACTGATGGCTCACCCCGCCGCAGAACAGCAGTAACACACAAACATCGAGAAGGACAGGTGGCCAAGCTAGGATTACCGTATAATTAGTCGCAGACATCATGGCACGCAAATTCTCTGTGTACCACCAACCAAGCTCAACATGATCAGTCTCCGTATGCGATATATCCGACACAATCCACACCGACAAACACGACCAGTGTGCAATGTAGCGCGTAGTAGAATCGCCTTCTCCAACCTAGGTAAGACATGAGCAATAGCCGCGAAGAAAGCGCCGGCACCAGTGGCCACCCCCCTGCGTGGCCGCAGCGGGAGGCTAGCATCGAAGACACAGCTGATGCTACCGACGCGGCAGCAACAAGAACATATCGTACGCACGTGTCCCGGGCGGGCACGTCTCTCTTTTTACCCTCGAAGACCTCCCCTACATCCGCGAAAAAGGCAGACAAAACAATATGTGCCGGAAAGGCATCGGGGAAAAACGACTCTGGTGTCCCATCAAACGACCGAAGGTCATGCAGCACAAATGCGGAAACTTACTTCCACATTGCCCAGGCGGCCATCAGCGCCATCCCCGCCAGCACCGCCAGGTTCATGTCGTCGTGGATGCGCGCCGCCAGCCCGTCCACGTACATGGACTTCTGCTTCGTCAGCACCGCGTGGGGATTCCGATTGCTACCGCCGCTACTGTTGTTGAAGTTGTAGTTGCAGTTCATATTGCCGATGGCGGTCGTCGTGGTAAATAACCGTCGAGATTTTTTTCCGAGGGTCAGCGTTCGACATCCGCAATGAAAACAGTAAAATAAACAACAGCAGAGGAGGCGACAAACGGTAGCAGCACTGAAGTTTGATCGAAAAAGCTTGAGCGGATAAACTGCAAGTTTTTGTTGGAACAAGCAACTACACACGTAGTAAATTTCTGAAGCGATGACCTACTGGATTTCTACAGAAATGCGAATGGACCGGGCCCAGCACCGTGTGAAGCAAGACGAAAGTCGTAACATCGTTCAGCATCTGCAGCCTTTCCAAGCAAAGGCT